CATGACTCAAGCTAGAATACTGATGACTTTGATTAGCGCGATAGTTTTGTTGAGTCCAAAAAATATTGTCCAGCTGAGCATGTAGTTTTTCAATAGAGCAAATTTTTTCAATCAGTGTGTATAATGAAAATGAAGCAATAAATAATTTCAGTATCAAATATCTGTCAATATGACAACGGCCGATGCCATAAGGACCAGCTCTGCTTGCCCAACGGTCGAGGAGGTAGAACCTGTGCCTGTGCAGACAATACCACCGGTCCCTGCACCGAATCCCAATCGTAGTTCCATTACCCCGTAAAACTGCATGAAAAATGCCTCACAAAAAAAAACTGAAAATAATCATTTCGAATTCGTAGTATAGTTACAATTAAAGTGTACTAACAATTATTATCATTCATATTAATTGATTACAATTAACGAAGTAGGAGTCATCGAGAGTCTGTAACGAGTGCCATTTTGTACGTTCAGTTTCAGAAAATAAAATATTTTTTACTCCTGAAAATTGCCTCTTCCTCATTATAAAAAATGGTAAACATCAATGATAAACAAACAATAACGATATTATTTTCTCTGAGGTACGAGTTTTTTCCTCTCCATCTCCTCTCGCAGTTTGAACTTCTGAATTTTTCCACTGCTTGTTTTTGGAAACTCATTAACTGGGAAGATGTACTTCGGTATCTTGAAATACGAAATTTTTCCCTTTGCGGAGGATCTAACTTGATCTGCGGAGAGAGTAACTCCATCGCTCGCCTTAATACAGGCGCAAAGTTCCTCGCCGTAGAGTTCGTCGTAGACACCGAAGACATGAGCTTCTTGAATGTCAGGGTGTGATTCCAGAAAGTTTTCAATTTCCTGAATATGGATATTAAGTTGACGTTAAAAATAGACTTTAAAGTTGGGAATGGTGTATCTTACTCTGGGGTTAATATTCTCGCCACCGCGTATCACCATATCCTTGATCCTTCCGACAGTACATCCATATCCGTCCTTATGCAGTATAAATTTATCGCCAGTCTTCAGCCATCCCTCATCGAGAGTTTTCGATGTGGTTTCTGGATCTCCCCAATATTCCATCATGGTACTGTAACCCTTCACTATTAATTCCCCGGGAGTTCCAAAAGGCACTAATGATCCATTCTTGTCCACCACCTGACGCAAAAAAGACAAAACAATTAGCCGCAAGTGAAAAACTTCATTACCCTCGCTGTACTCTCAAGGCGATTTACTTTAGCTTCGAGATGATGCTGCAACCATATGCTTGAGGTGCACATCAGTTCTTCAGGCTCTCCAGGAATCGTCGAGAACGCAATGGCAGTCAACTCTGACAGTCCATACAATGTCTGCCACCACACATTAATTTACATTTGATAATATTGCAGATCAAAAAACTGACACTTAATTTAACTAATTAACCATTTTTTTCTATAGAAAAGAAAGTGTATTTTTCAGTCTTCTATACACTACCTTTAATAATAAATCACAATTAATTCGCATAATTAATATATCTATAAAATTATTGGTAATCAAGTTGAATTCTTCAATCAATCAAATAACCAATAGATTAATTCAATTATTGATCTTTCTTTGATTAAAAATGATTTTTCCAATCTTTCCACGCCAATTGAATAAATTTTAATTTATAATTCTTAAATCTCTATAGATTAATCTCGTGAAGAATATTATAGAAAAATTTTGGATTTTAATTTTTTAACTGAATATGAAATTGTATTATCACTATTGAATTTTTTATATCAAAGATGTAATAAAATTATTAAGAATCTAATCTAATCTCATATTCCTAAAGATCTTATATTTTAGATAAAAAAAATTAGACAGATTTAGAAAAATCACTCTTACATTAGACTCTTGGATTCTCAATCAGTTAAATTGCGTGTTGAAAATTGAAAGAAAATTGCAAATTGAGAAACACCGGTTTCTCGAAGGATATTGATCGACGAACACTCTCCACCGAAGATATAGGGAATATGTACATGAGTTTCCTTGCCGAGAGATATGTGCATAGATAGGAATGAATGACCGGAGTCATCGACCTCTTATGGGTCGTCCCAGGGCCCTCAACCCCGTAGCATGTAAATCCACTCACCATGAAATTCTCCACCGAAAATGTCCTAATCACGTTCTTAATCAAATCTGGAGATGCATGAGCTCCTCCTGACGCAGCCCATTGTAAGCTCTCCATCGGAGCATTCGTGTTCTTCTGAGCGTTCGTCGCATTGATCTTAAACCAAATTCCCATCTCTTCTTTAATTAATCTACAAATTGTTGGGCAAAACTAAAAGGGAAATTGATATTTTCGTCGGATTTTTCCACAAAATTCGTAGTTTCTCAATGGCAAGATGACCTGGAATTTCTAGAATGTCACAGGGAAAATTTGATTGAAAATAATTTTAACAGCAATTATTTAGTCTTCAGTGGCATCTGCAAACTGGGCTGTGATGTTTCGATGCTCTGCAACTAAATAACGATCGATTCACGGTTAATGAAATTCTTACCCACATGGTGGGGGTCCCATACGCCCCAGTGCACTTCTCTTTCGCAATAGCATTGATTGTCGCTTTCGGGTTGAAGATCGGTGACTCGATCACTAGAGTTGCGCCACTGCAAAACGTTGTCATCAATCCCTTGACGATTCCAAATGCGTGGAAGAAAGGAACATTCAAGCAAATCCTCGGGTTATTCATTAGGTCACCATATCTCCCCACAGACTATCAACACACAAAAAAACCTTCATTCGACTACTGATACCTCACTTTCCGGAACTCGCA